TGCCTGCCAGTGGCTTGCTGGCTTATGTTTGGGGGCCACTGAGTCAGGGGCAGTGACTGAGGGCTGGGTGCTGGCAGGCTTGCAGCTGGCACAGTCACTGTAGCCAGACCGTGCCCCTTTAGGGCTCCGGGGCAGGGAGAGGGGCAGAAAAGTTTCCCTGGTTTGGCCCAGAGTGGCCACCAGGGCAAGCTGGGAAGGGCTAGCCTCCCACTAGTTCGAATTAAGTGGCTACACAGCCCTTAATTCGAACTACTTAATTCAAACTAGGCGTTAGTCCTCATAGAATGAGGTTTACCTAGTTCGAATTAAGTGCTCTGCTAATTCAAATGATGTTCGAACTAGTGGTTTGCATGTATAGACAATATTAACTATGAAAGTTAATTCGAACTAACGGCTGTTCGTTCAAATTAACTTTGTAGTGTAGACATACCCTCTATTAGGAAGTTTTTCCTGATGTCCAGCCTAAACCTCCCTTGCTGCAATTTAAGCCCATTGCTGCTTGTCCTATATCAAAGGCCAAGGAAAACAATTTTTCTCCCTCCTCTTTTTGAAATGATTTCAAAATAACAGGCTTGCTGAGTAGTTGCGCACTAATAATGTGAGTTGTTTCTAAATAATGCTGCAGTGTAGATGTGCTCTTTGAGATTAAACAGTACCACAGAATGCTTAGATTACGCTGGGTCTCACTCCATCTGAAAGACTGTTTTAAGGTTCTTAAACAGATGCCCTCCATGCAATGCCATGGCAATTTAGAATAAAATTATTACATTTGACCATGAAGATTTACAGCGATTAAGATTATTTTTTTTGCTAAATATCCAGCAGGTCCAGAATAAAGATATAATTGGAGTTCATAACCACAGTGGTGAGAAATGAGAGCAATAGTACCTAAGCAGTTGTTTGTTGTTTCAAGCATGGATCATTTTTAAATCCATTGAACATACTCTTTGAAATAATGCATTTAAAGCTCATTTGGGACAGGATTAGCAGAATACTGATGACTTTTTATTTAAACAGCCTAGCTGCAGATAATCATGATCCTGAAACTTAGTTAACTTGTTTTTCCCCTGAACTAGCTTGCAGAAGATGGTGCAGTTGGGTCAGCAGCAAACAGTAACAACCATCTAAGCGAGCCTCAGATAAGACGGCCTCGTAGCCTCAGCTCACCTACAGTAACTTTATCTGCTCCACTTGAGGTGAGAAGACCTGTCTCATCTAACAAAGCTCACTTCTACCCTGACTTTTCATTCTTTCTGTTGTCTTTATCACCTTTTGTTTTCATTTCAATTTTGCAGCTATCCCATTCTTGTCACCTTTGCCAACTCATGATGATATCTCAAAGCTTTTGGTTTTATATTTCATTCTTTTCAGCAGGGTATTTTTATTTCCTTTTAGTGCTTTTGAAGATATTGCCTTGATTTATTAACAGACTTAGCAGCCATCTTGTTTCATTAGAAAAAGTTTTCTTTAATGATTTTTTTGGACTATGATAAAGTTTAGTCAACTTCCTTTACCTGTAAAAGTCTGTGCCCAAAATTTGGCTTCTGTATCCATACTAAAACAACTAAAGATTAATTTTTCTAAGGTCTGAAATGCCCATTTACTTCAGTGGGATTCATTCTCAGCACAGTACTTACCACTTCCTCCAAAAAGGCCATACATATTTACAGGGCTCGCCGAACTGTGGCAAGTCCCGCTTGCCAGCCGCACTGGCAGGAGATAAATCGCTTGATCATTGTCTTCTGTCCACCCCCTCTGGGGCACCTGGTACTGGCCACTGTAGGCACACAGGCTACTGGGCTAGATGGACCTTTGGTCTGACCCAGTACGGCCATTCTTATGTTCTTATGTATGAAGCATTTGAACCTATCTTTATTTTAGGAACTTGCTTAATGCCTGTTGTAAACACTTTGGTTGGTGATATCAGTTCCTAATTGATGAAAAAATGTATTTGAGGTATCTTACACTGCCTTATATTCATCTATGCCTTTTTGCTTTAAAGTGTTTGTCAGATGTGGTACTGTGTAAATAGCAAAGAAGTGCCTGTACTTTTTATATAAAATTAATTTTGGTATGTACAAAGAGACAATAGAAAAAGGCTTCAGATCCTAGCTACAATGGCCATATTTCTGTGAGATGAAAGTGATAATACACCATGATCTTTACAATGAAAGCACGTGCAACAAGGAGCAGCCAATTTTAAAATAACGTTGTGATTGAGAGATAGCGTTATATCCCTTGTTCGTGTAAGTTGTAGCCGCATTGAAAATGAGTTGAGCTCATGATGCCAAGTGTCACTCAGAATATAATACAAGTGACATTAGTGGAATCTTAATGTTGCTCCTTTTCCACAGGGTATGAAGGACTCTCCTGTGCGCAGAGCCGTGAAGGACACCCTTTCCAACCCACAGTCTCCACAGCCATCACCTTATACTTCTCCTAAGCCCCAGCACAAAGTGGCACAGAGCTTCTTGCCACCTGGTTGGGAGATGAGAATAGCACCAAATGGCAGGCCCTTCTTCATTGATCACAATACTAAGACTACCACATGGGTAAGATTCATTCTAGCTTATCAAATTTTAAATCTGTTGGTGTTTTCTGGCTATTTTTACCTTGTTGTTTTTGTTTTACTTCCTGTATACCCTCCAGATGATCTGACAGGCTCTCTGGGCCCCCTAGGCAAGGGTGGGAGACTGCTGGATCCATGCTGCCAAAAGGTGTGGGGCCTCAGGCAGAAGGGGTGGGGCCAAGGCTTCTGGCCGTCAGTGCTGCCTGGACTGCATCATCCCTCCCCTCCCAGCACTGTCTGGAACACTCCATCCAAAGCTCTCTCAGTGATTTAAAGGGCCCCAATTTCTGGCAGCAGGGCCCCTTTAAATTTCTGCCCCCTAGAGCAGCTGTCCCATTCACTTTCTCATACACATGCGCACACACCCCCTGACAGTGAGTCTGATACCCTCCTTGCTGCTGTTTTTATGTACTTGTTACGTCTTGTCTTTAATTAAATTGTAAGTTCATCATTCAAGGACCCTTTGGGTGTGTTCTAGACTACTGAGTTTTGTCGACAAAAGTGGACTTTTGTCGACAAAACTATACCTGCGTCTACACTACCACTGAATTCTGTCGACATAACGTCAACAGAACTCAGCAGTTTTGTCGACGCTGGTAAACCTCATTTTACGAGGCATAACACCTTCTGTCGACAGAGTTCTGTCGATAGAAGGTGTTATTGCCTGTAGGGTTGCATCTAGACTACAGGGTTTTGTCGACAAAGCAGCTTGCTTTGTCGATGGAACTGAATGTGTCTAGACGCTCCTATGTCGACAGAACCCTGTAGTCTAGACGTACCCTTTCTGCTTGAGAGTTTATATAGCACTTAGCTCAATTGTGCCCATGGGTGCTACTGTTACACAAATATTGGAGTTACATAATCACAAGCTAACATCCTCAAGTGGCTGTGGTAGTAGTTATCCTGCCATTCCACAAACACAGGAGTCTTTTATGTCAGCAAACTTACCCTTAGTGTATTTACACACATTTTTCTAGTGCATCTTTTGCCTTTTAAAGACCATATACAGGCAGTCCCCGGGTTACACGGATCCGACTTACATCGGATCCCTACTTACAAACGGGGTGAGGCAACCCCGCACTAGCTGCTTTCCCCCAGCAGACCAGGGAGACACGAAGCTAGTGCCCCCCCTCCAGCAGACCAGGGAGACGAGGAGCGGCTTTTCTCAGCAGAGAAATCAGCTTGAGAATAAAGGACTGAGGGAAGTGAGGTGTGGGAGAATAAAACTGAGCTCTGGAGAAATATTTGGCTAGAGTTTCCCCTACAATATGTACCAGTTCCGACTTGCATACAAATTCAACTTAAGAACAAACCTACAGTCCCTATCTTGTATGTAACCCGGGGACTGCCTGTACTGTATATTTAATATAATAGTGAACATGATTATAATTTTTAACAATTTTATAGGGCTATTTCAACAATTTCAATCCTAGTTAACTCGTGATTAACTCAAAAAATTACTCACAATTAAATAAATTGTCATTAACACTGTTAAACAATGGAATACCAATTGAAATGTATTACATATTTTTGGAATTATTTTTGTTTTCAAATATGTTGATATTTATTACACCACGGAATACAAAGTGTACAATGTGCATTATTTTTGATTACACATATTTACACTGTAAAAAGATAAAAGTAATTTTTCAGTTCAACTTATACCAATACTGTAGTGCAGCCTCTTATCGTGAAAATGTAACTTACACTTGGAGCCTACAAGTCTGCCGGAATCATGGTTGAGGTATGAAGGTACATATAAATAGGCACATTTGACACATACCATAGTACCATACAAAAGCCTGTTCTCACTTTCAGGTGGCATGGTCAATAAGAAGCAGGCAGCATTATTTCCTGCAGATCGTAACCAAACTTGTTTGTCTGAGTGATTGGCTGAACAAAAAGTAGGACTGACTGGACTTGTAGGTTCTAAAGTTTTACACTGTATTATTTTGGAATGCAGGAGGGAGGGGATTGTACATAATTCTAGATTTATAAGTTCAACTTTATTATCAAGAGATGGCACTGTAGACTTGTATGAAGTGATTTGGGAAATACTATCTTTTATTTTTTATGGTACAAGTATTTGTAATAAAAAATAAAGTGAGCATTATATACTTGGTATTCTGTATTGTAATTGAAATCAATATACTTGAGAACTTTAGAAAACATCCAACATATTTTAAATAAATGGTATTCTATTATTGCTTAACAGTGCAATTAATTGTGATATAATTTTTTTACTTGTTTGACAGCCCTTTAAATTTTGAAATCCTGAACAAGATTTAGGATACCTCAAAGTTTGAATCTAGAGGTTTTATTAAGTTTGGATTTCTAAGACACAGTCTTCCTAAGTGTTTTGGAACCACTGTTAGTTTTGAAGCTGACACTCATAATTTTAATACATTTCATTTTCCATTTCACTGGTCTTGCATTAAAATTATCATAATAAATTGTTATTTAGGTATCTTGATATGCAATGTTATCTGCCTTGCTTCAGTACAGTGCATTTTTCTTCCATTTTTTATTGTGTACTATTTTAAAAAGGAAAAACGAAAAGCTGAATTTTTTTTAAGTTAATGAAGAATAAAGAGACTCATCTGTCCATGTTCTTTTTGCCTTTTGTATAAGAATAATGCTCTTGGCAATTCCTTAATTTATTTAGTTGTGTCTGCATTCTTGGAACTATGCATGATATATTCTGTGCGCTGCAGAATCTAAGCATTCTTAAGGACAGGGTATCAGCCTTGAATTTTTATTTTTATGTTTCTTGCCTGGATTCTTGATCTTACTTGGGTGTAGTTGTTTGTTGTGCATTTTTTTCTCTCTCAAAAAAAATTTTTTTTAAGCCCAATGGTAACAGAATCATGGATTGGGAGCTAACCAGATCCCTTGTAGCCATGTTTTGTAGGCTGACACTAGTTGCTGATAGAACTCATCATTATTACAGTACTTTCTATTCTAGAAGTGCATTGTATTATCCAGTCACCAGTGCTCACTAATCATTCCAATTCATGTGTGGAATAAATTTTTATGTGCCCTAAGGCATGTGCAAATGTGAACTGCCAGTAGAAACAACAATCTACCTCTGCTAATCCGTTAGATGGCATTTGAATTTCAATCTCTCTTGAGCAGCCTCACAAGTGCACAGCTTGCAGGGAACACTGCCAGTCACCTATTTTTTTACAGAGTTATTGTTCAAAATACTTACTCTTCAGTGTCTAGTTAATTTTTATACTTAGAACTTGACCATAAAAGTGTATTTGACTCATAGTTTTGTGTGTACTGACTCACCTAGGACATAAATGTTTTTCCCCTTTAAAAAAAACTCACTGAACATAAAACTGCTTTGAGAGATATGTATTTGAGTGCTTAAAAGTCAAAATCAATTTCAGCTTAAACTATAGACAGTTAGGAATATGTTTGTGAAAAATTATTAATATCCGGGGAGATCGTTCTTTCTAGTCCTATGATTCTGTTACGTGATAGCTGCTAGTTTTGATGCTGCAGAAGCTCAATCAGCTCAGTATTGGGTAAATCCAGGTAAACCCGAATATTTTTCTATTTTATATATATTGTTTGTTTAATTTATTTGTATTGTTTGGACCCAGATTGCCATTAATTTAATGTCTGTACAGTGATACAAGCATAAGAAGTTCTTCTTCCTCTTCCTCTTTTTTACAAAATTAGTGAGAGAGATGGGCTTCTCCAGCCTGACTTGTTAGTTTTTCTTTCTACATTTATAAGAATCAGAAAGATGCATATTTTGCTCTAGATTCTCCATTCATTATTTAAATGTTGATTGATTATAGAGAATCTACAGTAATCCCACATAATGCAACCATTGCTAAATAAACCAGTGCAAAAAACAGAAATGCCCCACCCTTCCTAGACATTAACTGCCAAGCAGTATCTCCCTCTCTAAAAGACGTGCAAAAAAGATGAGTTTCTCTGGTTTTGCCTTGAAGGTCAATAGTTTCAGGCTGTCTCAAACAATGCAGTGAGTGTATTCCAAAGGGTAGGAGACTTCTTGAAGAATGCTCTGCTCCCAAGAGACTTAGTACACATCTATAAAATGAAATACCCATGGAAGAAGAGAGACTGCATCGTCATGGCTCCCTTTGCCATTAAAAATGCTGTTGAAAAAACACAAACCCAAATATAGTACTTGAAACCCACACAAATATTAAAAGTTATAAATCTTAGCATGGACAGACTGCTTTCCCAGCTTGTTAATTGCTGAGTGTTCCTGGCTCTCATTAGCTGTGCTGTAAAGTGATCACTGCTTGAAAAAAAAATTCTGTATCAGGAAGAAACACACTACAAGTTAGCATGTTTACAAATCCAGTAAATAAGAGACCCGGGATACTGCTATGCTGTGCATCTGGAAAAAGGAATTGAAGCTGATTGCATTATGAAATGGCAGATAATGAAGCTAAGGTTGTCTTTTGCCTGGAGAGAGAAGGCACTATAGAAAGATTTTAAAAAGTAAATACAAAAATGCAGAACTGAATGGCTATTCTCCCGTTAGCAAACGGTAACGAAAAATATTGAGATGAGAACAAAATACACCCTCAGAACTGGCCTTTGACATGACTTGAAAAGGGGTACCAATTCAAAAGAAATGTACAGTTTTCTTAGTTGTGAGTTGGACAAGTGCAAACTTTTTACAAAGGAATGTGCCATAGGGCTCTCCATCTCTTGCCTTCAGAATAGTCTTAAAAGAATTCTTCCATTTTTGTATGAGTATGTGTATTATATGAGTTTTGACTTGCTTTCATAAGGAAGTTTCTGTCTAGATGATAACTTTCTGTCTAGATTGTTAGTACAGCAAAGGAATTGATCAATCAGTGTGCATAACCCCAGGAGAAAGGAAAGATGCCAGCATGCTACGTAGCAAACTGACAAAATCACAAAGGACAATGACAAATGAGCACAAGGTGTAGAATCCTAAACACATCGCAAAGGCCTGTCTGATTTATTGTATGTAACTCTCATAGTTGCCTGAAGGTTTGTACTTTGGCAGAGCTTGCATAGCAACTTGTCATGCTATAAAAGTATTATTGGATTGAATATTGATTTAATAATGGTGACAAAGCATTCACATATTGTATTACCATACAATGTATAATATCTCCTAATATAACTGTGTCCATTTATTTAAAGCAATTAGTTCTTCATTTTATTACATGAAATTGTAGCTCTGTATTTTGGTTTGAACTAATGTTAGAGAATTTCTGCACTACCGTTACTTGTGTTGCATCTTGAAAACTAAAACTGGCTCTGATCTAACAAGCTATATAGTAACTGTAAATGAGAAGCATCTTTGTGGTTTAAATTGTTATGGATTTGCAGTGTTGTATTTGTTACAGGAAGATCCACGGCTGAAATTTCCAGTCCATTTGAGATCAAAAGCTTCTTTGAACCCTAATGATTTGGGCCCTCTTCCTGTAAGTGTGAATTTAACATGTTGTATTCTATGCATAAAAACCTTTTTTGCAAATGCATGCATACTACTTTCCGCATACATCGTATATGGATTGGTGTATTGTGTGTGTATATAATGCTAAAAACATTTCATTGTGATCTGAGTGATGTAACAAGAATATACTTTCCAGAGCCCACTAATAACATTTTTGAAGTGGTCAACCACTTACCGTATATACTTGTTCATTAGCCTGTTAGTTTATAAGCTGACCTCCTAAGATTAATAGGTACATATGGCAAAATGCTATGACCCATTCATAAACTGACCCTTTATTTCAGTGGTTGGTAAACTTGGTTTCCTGGCTCGTCAGGGTAAGCTGCTGGCACGTCAGAACTTTTTGTTTGCCTGGAAGATCTGCAGACACAGAGACCTGCAACTCCGAGTGTTCGCAATTCTCAGTTCTGGGCCAATGAGAACAGCGGGAAGTGGTAGACAGCATGTCCCCCAGACTGCACCACCTCCTGCAACTCCCACTAGTTGGGAATGGTGAATTGAACTGCCAAGGGCTCCATGCCTGCAGGCACTCCAAGTATACAAATCTCTCCCAGCACGCCAGCAGCTTAACCTGACAGACCAGGAGCCAAAATTTGCTGTTGTAGATCACCGATGACAGAACATAAGTTATGGACTCACTTCTTTAAAAAATGCTAAAAATTTATTTTTATTTAACTTGAATCAGCATTTCACAAAATACTGGACCTTACGAGTCAATCAAAAAAATACAATGAACATTAGTGCTGTGGCTCTGGTGTTAGTCTGCTACTATGTAATTTGATCTCTTCGTGCATATTGACCACCGGACCACCTAGTCTGTAACCAATCTGAAAATGTAATACATAGAGTCAATAAAATCTGTAATAAAATTTAAGTAGCCTGTTATGACCACAGACATGACCATCTATAGGGCTGCGTTGAAATAAACACATCATACAATTATAGTTTGACAGTGATAAAGCAGGTGACATTCCTCTATAAAGCCCTAGCAAATCTATAACTAAATCATTTTAAATACTAGTGTGAAAATCTTAGAAAATAAACAACCGTGAAATCAAAAGAAAATGGTCTGCTTATGATGCAGCGTTCAAACTTAAAAGTTGTTGAATATGCAGAAGCAAACAATAAGCGTGCTTCTGCTTGTGAGTTCTGTGTCAGTGAGAAACCAGTAAGAGAGTGACAAAAAAAACCACTAAAAGACATGCCAAGAAGCAAGAACCATTGTCCAATCAGGTGTGCTTCATTTCCTTGGTTGGAGAAAGATCTCATCATTTGGGGGGTTAAATATCAACAAAATGGGTACCTCATCACTAGAATTGGAATTTTTCTGTGTGCTCTGCAAATGTCCAAGGTCGACAAATACAAGTCAGTAAAGTCATCAGTATTCGTTACATCAGCAGGTTGTTGAACTCACTTCATGAACCATCATGAACTCTGTGATCATCAGTGAACAAAGCTAGCACAAAACCTGCTGAGAAACCTGGAAGCTGTCACAAATAGAAATATGGATGACATTTCATTTCCCAAGCAACAGAATGGTAACTGGTGTTGGTGAAAAAACAGTTTTAAGTAAAACCACTGGCCATTAAAAAAATCCATTTTACAATGGTTTTATCATATTTGGTCAATGGATCAAAGCTCACCGCTGTTCTTATTTTTAAAAGAAAAACCTTACCTAAAAACATGAAATTTCCTGTGGGTGTTGTGATATGTGCACATTGCTTCAGGAAGTAGAGCAGGCCAACGGATGTGCTGTCCATCACTTCCTGTCACTCCCATTGGCTGTAAATGGTGAACTGCAGCCACTGCAAGTTGAGGGGTTCCGTGCCTGCAGAAGTCCAGGTACACAAAACATCCTGTCATGCCAATGGCTTATCCTGATGGGCTGGGAACCAAAGTTTGCCAACTCCTGAACTACAGCAACAATGTTCACCCATTAATAAGACAACCCCACTCTTTGATACATCACTTTTTTTACCAAAAGAATTTGGCGTATGAATGAGTATATACAGTAACTAGGTCAGCTAAAAGTTCAAGCAACATGGAAGCTTTCTCCAAGTCTTTATTATTGACACTGTGACTTTGGATGGTTGAAAGTTGCTGTGAAAACTGAAACAGAATACAAGTTTGAATCAAGATGGAAGAACGTTTCTAAGTTGGTTATGTCGGTTAGCTTAAGATTCTTTTTTGGCATTCACAGATCTAACTTAATGTTTTGTTCTCTCTGGAAGGAGGAGTAGGTGGTATGCTGTGAAGTTTAATTTAGATTTTGAATGACACTTCTACATTCCATGTAGGAAACTACCACTGTGATTCAAATGTTACTTGGGATTATACTAGTAACCATTTGCTTCATAATCAGAGTCAATTATAGAGCCGTTCTCTCTTTATGAAAAGCTTTGCTCTTAAAGGTAGAAAGCAATACCTGAACATTTTAGATTTCTTCATGTGCGTCTAATCCAGTACCTGATGTCGGTAGCACTCATTGGTCTTGTCTACACTAAGAGGAAGGTACTAGCAGGCCTGTGGTTTCCATCAACACACTCCCCATCTAGCTCTGCTGGGATGAAGTCTAACTGACTCTGTTTAGGGAAAAGACATTTTTGAAATTTAGGCAATTCATTATTACTTTATTTGTAATTGCAGTTATCACCTAGTGTAAGCGCAAGTAACACTTTTACAATTATTTGTTAGCTTGCTACAAGACAAGACTAAAGCAGTTTTAAAAGAAAAATAGCTGTGCATTAGGTTGTTTTATTGGTATTTTTCCTTTAAGTTGGGCATGCAGTTATATCCAGACAGGACGTCTTTAAGTGCAATAAAGGTGTGATTTGTATATTGGTTCTGACATTGGCCAACACAGTATGACTTAGAGGAAGGTTCAGGAAAGCCGACACACGGTAGTTATTTGGGATGATCCACCCCTTATGAGATCTGCTCCTAGCCCTTTATACTTAGTTTGCCTTAAACTCTGGGCATTTTTGTTAACCATCCAATCATTCTGAATCTTGCTAACTTCTTGGCCTTTGGTGTGATTCTGTGATTGTTGTGTCCCTTCTAACTTATTTTTTTTAAGCTAGTTTAAGTAAACAAATGATGTATTCCTCTGTTTGGTGTGCATGCTTAGGATGGTAATACTAATTTAATTAACGTTTTTTATACTTCCAGCCTGGTTGGGAGGAAAGAATCCATTTGGATGGAAGAACATTTTATATAGATCATAGTAAGTAAGCATCCAGGTACCTTCTGCAACTAGAGAAAGGGAGGTAATAAATATTGAAGTGAAAGTTTTATAATTTTACTCTTCATTTAGGAAGCCAGGTGTTGATATGTGGAGACATTGATACCAGAGACTTAGTGCCCTCCTACGGTACTGTATATTCACCAAAAGCTTGCTTTTAATTGGCTCATCAAGCTTTGTCCCTCTCTGATCTTGTGAAGCATTAACATTTCTTCTTTGTGGTTTTCTTTGTTTTTGTTGATATTTTGGATTCTTTGTTGTTGTTGATGACCCCATGGCTTATTTGCACTTATTTAATGAATTAAAATACACACTAGGATAGAAAATAAGATGAGAAAGGATGATGTATCCACAAGTCCATATATAGGCAGTGGAAGAAATAACTCTGAGAAATTTTCCCTCCCACTTCCTTGAAAGGGTCTTGTGGCAATGCCAATTCTGACCTTATTTTCTATTTGTAGCATGTTTTATTGCACCCAGCCCGTTAATATCTATCAAATTCTGTTATTGAAGTTCCAGTGTAAGTGATGTTTCATTGTAGACTTGTCTTACTAGAGCATCTCAGAACAAGTGTGTGGATTTTTGTTGTTTGAATATGTGTCAGTCTAATAGAAGATTTTTTACCTTTCAGCCAGGATTATTTGAAAGGTGTTTCTATTTATGAGATAATCCTTATATAAAAATACAGACACCATGAAACATCCTTAGAAAAACTGGGAGTCAGGAAGATAACTGCACAAAACCTGTAAAATTAAAATCTTAAACCATTCTACGTGTTTGGCAGCATTATGGTTTTTACTTTATTTTACTGTCAGTAGTATTAACTGCTGTGCTTATTCTCTGTTTTAAAAAAACTGTCTGTAAAGCAAATTGATTTTTTGAAATTGCATGTTGAGTTTTTAAGAGAAACCCTACTCTTAAGTAAGGTATTGAACTGGTACATTCTTTTCAGGATTAACCTGTTCCAAATATTGCTATAGAATTCTTAGTGCTTTTTGCACTTTTACTATTTTAAGTAGCCCACAAAAGTTTGATTATAAGGTCAGAAATTTATCCTGAACTCCTGTTATCAAGGGGTCCAAGAAAAGAAAAGAGCTTGATTTAAGATGGTATCACATTTACACTTGCTGTGATTCCCTGTCTTTCAATAGTTTAATTAGCCTGACCCTTAGTTATTTGAGCTTAGGTTTGTTTCTAAATGTAAAGAAAAATTTTAACATTACATTAGGCAGAGTTCACTAGTGAATTTCTAGTGGTTGTCAAACATCTAATTTTTTAATTTTTTTTTTAATTTGAAATTTCTTCCTTGGTTCCCTTTCCTGAAATGCAAGAGGGGAGAGGTTGGCTTTGCAGATGGTGAACTGCAAAAAGCAAGTTTTTCCTGATGATACTTGTTTCCAGAAAACACCCTTGTTCTCACATTGTTACATCACTGTGGTTACCAGTGGACCCGCAGCAAGGGTGAAGCCAATGGTATCACAGTGGTTATTCAAGTTTCTTTGCAATAACTTCATGCTGAATATTAAGCAAATGACAATGCAGAATGTTCAGGGACTTGTCTTCCCCAATATTAAAAGTAGTGTCTGTTTTCACAGTTTTCCTAAGGGACTATAATGACATGACTTTGATGAAATACACAACTGCAGTAATGTAAAAATATGGCAATATCCCTATTTCATATATTCTAAATTTATTATTTTTAAGTCCCAATTACAAGTGTATGTAACAGTATGTAAAATGTACCATATTCAGATTAGGGCCAACTTTAGAACCTACATTGAAATCTGTCATGGTCATGGTCCGCTAGGATTTCCCCGAAATATATAGGCCTCAAGAACTCCATGAACTCACTGACCATCAGCATCTTCTGTATTTGCAGCCCTTTGTCAGAGTGGCTAGTTGTTAAAGAATTATAGCTGTGTAATTGGTCTTCTAAGGGAAGAAGGGGCCAGAAGAGCTCATTCAAGGAGTTGGAATGATGAATAAGGGCTCAGGAAATGGCCTGATAGTGGAGGAAAGGAAGTGTTCTTAAGGAATTGGGAGTTGGATGGTTAGAAAACCAGAACTGACTCTAAGTGTCTGGGATCAGGAACCCTATAGCATTGGGCAGGGCTCCCCTCTCTTTTAGCCAATCAGGAGCTACCTCTCTGAAGGGAACTGAGGGTGGCAGCTGCAAAGGGATGATGTTCAGCCATAAGAGACAGATCAATAAGCAGCAGCTCTGCAACAAGTTCCAAGTCATGTAATCACATTTCTGGTAAAAGATTGTGATTATCTAAATTAAAGGTACACCATCAACTTTAAATTCAGCCAACTTTATGAAAGGGTTAATAGATTCAGATTCAGCTACTGTTCATGCCCTGGTTCCCCCTTAATTTTTTAAATCTCCATCTCTACAGTCCTATTGATATGCAAAAGGCTTGTTCAACAGCAGAGAATCTGACTCTTGGGGAACAACACAACCAAGTGCTATTAGATGCACAGTGTCAACAAAGACAGACAGGATTTCAGTTGTAATAATAAAGGGGGTCACTTGGGCAAATATTAGATTAAAAAAATCAAATTGAAATTGTACATATCAGAATAGATTATTAACTTGAAAATATTCCTTTTAGTGATGATGCCACATAAATATTTTAATGCCCAAGTTCTCAGGGAGGAAAGGTGGAGGAGTGCTTTGTTAATAAAATACAGAGCTTTTTATCCGCTCAGACTGGTTCAAGTTAAGCTGTATCAGTATTATAACCAAATGTATCTGAAAGCTCAGTAGTTTGCATGAAATGGGTTAGTAGTTTCTATTCACCTGTGCTTTGCTGCATCTGCCCAGGCCGTATAAAAGACCTTGGTCTCCAGAACTGTCACTCCAGCATCTTCTATGCGCATTAAATATACTTAAAATGCATAATGAGAAATACGAGAACACCTTTTAATATTCAGCAATTATAAACAAATAAGAAAATTGCCACAGCTTTGACCTTATTTTTATTCTATCAACACTTTCTTCAAAAACATTGTTTCAAACTTCAGCTTTCGTAATCTAACTTATTTTTGGCCATTTTAAAATTAAATCCAACTCCAGGTTGAAGCTCTGTGGTCCGGAGCTCGCTGGTCCAGAAACATCTGTGGTCCAGCAGGACCATGGATGTCATTGGACAAGAGAACCCCAGTGGCAGAAGTTGCTGGTGGCGGTGGAGTGAGGGCGGGGGGAAAGGAGAGGGGCGGGGCAAGAGCCTGCAGGCAGGAAAGCAGGCAGGCCTCCTGAGGTCACGGGACCAAGAGGCCAGCAGGGCTGTCATAGCCAGGGGCAGCAGTGCCAAGTGTCTGGGGAGAGGAGCCCAGCAGGGAGCCCCCTCCCCCGGCCTAGCAAACTCCCTTGCCAGGTACCTAGGGTGCCGGACCAGAGAGGTCCAATCTGTATTATAAAGCAACAGATCTTTCTGAAGATCTGTAGAGAAACATAGAAATTCTTAAGGTATATAACCTTTTACTTAAAATAAAACTATATATACATAAAATTTTACACATAAGTTCCTTCCTAAGGGAGCAATTTGGGAACTTAAAATGAGCATGAGGAGGAACTTGATCACAGTTGTTATCATACAAACTGTAAAGCATAGCTGTAAACATAAATATAAGGATTGCTATTCCACTATCAGGGCAGAAAATTGATTACTTAAACTTTGCCATTGCAGATGGTACCTACTTGAATTTTGGCGCATCATCTTACCATTGTGATACCATTGTTCCATTGTGGTTCTGCCGTGTTCAGATTTTTATTAGAAATATTCCATGTGGAGGCAGGGAGAATATCACTGTAATACCGTAAAACCATTAGCCTACCAATGCTCTAAAAAATCTGCACCATTGTTTTGCTATTATATCTTTGGCAAGAGATATTTTTGTCAAATTGAATATGCTTCCCTTGTGTCATAACTTCATAAGGGAAGGCAAAAATGTGCAGTCTTAAATACCTTAATCAGTAGCTAGTGTCTACGTAGCTGTATCTTTCTAGAATGGAGAAAATTTCTCCCCAGTTCTATATCCGGTCCTATTTTAAAATGATTGTTTCTCTATTCTAAATTTATAAACATAATTTGATCATATCCTGGTGTGAGTTCTTGTCAGTTTTTTTAGTGTTAACTGTAAATAGTTTTAAAGTTGCACAAGAACACTCAAAAAGTTTGAATTTAGTCACTTAAATCTAGCATTTGAAGGGGTCCTTTTGGGCCCACGACCTTTGTTTGCCTAATCTGAGTTAAATGCATGTCAAGATCAAGTTATAAATCTCTGAAGAAGGGGTTTATAATTTAAATATTGACACTCTAGATCTTTTGACAAAAGCAGTGTGAGTGTACTGGTTTATACGGTAGTTTTGCATTTTTGAATGAATGTTTCCAACTAAACAGTGTGATGGGATTTTAATGGTTGGGGTGTACACAGTTCTTTCCTAACCCTGAAGTACTAAGTTATGGATATTGCAGGGTTATGGGATGCAGATGAAATTTTTTGATGACAGAAGAGAACTAATGGTAAGATTTCTTTTATTAATTTACAGATAGTAAAATTACTCAGTGGGAAGACCCCAGATTGCAGAACCCAGCTATTACCGGTCCAGTAAGTACTGTGTATGCTAATAGTTTTTAATGCCCCACATTAAACGTTATGGCTTAAACTCTTTCCTGTGCCAAGATCTACTTGGTGTAGGGCAGAAGGGAATGTTATATAGCAGCTTACAGCTGATTACTTAGGTCAGTCTGTGCCTGCTGCAGCACAAGTTAGAACAGCCCCATGGTTGCTGTCTTGCTGGCAGCAGTCTCAAACAGCAGTATGCCAGAGGGAGTTGCCAAAGCACACTGCACTCCAGTACCACCCACTGTTACAGGATCAGACCAAGTATGATTTGGACAGAGGCAATTTCTGTATCTTCTGAGACCTTCCCATGTGAGCTGGCCAATTTTGGAAGCTTGCAGGTCCTCTAATTTCCTTCCTTTCTTCCACCAATTATCATATAATATAATTTCCTTCCTTAGGGACCCAGGAAAAATATTTGATCAGTGTATCCTCCAATACATCCCTGGCTACTCCATAATCTTGACTCTGGTTTATTTTAGATGTCTGATTAGAGTGTATATTTTGCTGCATTATTTTCTCTTCTGAAAATTCCGTCCATTCAGATAATGCATGGCTAACAGATGGATGCTTGCAGGTTTGACTTATTGTAACCCCTTCATTTGTCACTGTTCCCATTTTCCTGCAGCTGCAACAAGAAACTATCTCCACCAAATTGAAATAATGGAGTTTGTCTCTAAAGGGCATTCATTTCTAATGTCTTCCCTAAGCAGAAAAAGTTCTTTTTTTCAAAGCAGATTTTTCCCATTAGAAAACTGATGTGGTGATGAGACTCCAGGGTAGAGATCATGCAGAGGCCATATCCAGTTTAATATAAGAGATGCTGTTTGACTTGCTCTTGGCATCCAAGGAAGCAGCATTAAAAATGCAAATCTTGGATATATTTTTGTCACTATGTGGTGAGGGCTCCTCCTTGGCCTCCCTGACTCTTTCCTCATCCACCTTTCCTATATTAAAATCCACTTTCTTGCCAGTGGCTGTAAAAATAACAATCCCTCAGCGAGTCTTCTTTGGCTTCCTAGCCCTTCCTCTATCAAATAGAAATTGTATATCCTCCTCTCCGAACTTCTTCACAGTACTGGCTCTGTCTGCATTATAGGTCTGGTCTTCTACATTGTATGCGCTCATCTCCTAGTTGTGACTCCGTGTCTATTTTTCATACCATGCTCCTGTGCCTTGAATAGCCTCCCTCTCCTGGGCACCAGGCCTAACTCACTCTCCTTACCCTTCATCAGATATCTTTCAGAACTTTTTCCTTTAGTTCATCTACTCTTCCTCTGGTGCCTCAAGCATTTATGAAAATAAACAGAAGACCATTTAAAGAAGCAAGGTACCTGGCCAGATCACTGGCTATTGTAACATTTGTCAACATACATCAGCATGTCTTCATTATAACTGAGAATCAGTTTAAGAATAGGAACGGAATTAAAAAAATAGTTTGGGTACATTCTGTCCCCTTGCCAAACTGCACTCTTCCAATTCATTGTTCACGCTTCCTTTCGTACATTTTTCAAAATTCCTGTGTCATTGAAATTAAATGCAAAACTTTGACTTGAGTGGCACAGAATTGAACCCTGGCATTAAAACAACCTTTGGCCATCTCATTTTTTCATATGTTAAAAAGAAAGAGGAAAAAATGTTGATTAATGGTATTTTCAAAATGGTTGACACTTTTGCTATTGTTATCTATCTGGGGCTGCTAAGTGTGCATAGAATCATAGAATACTAGAATTGGAAGGAACCTTGAGAGGTTGTAAAGTCCAGTCTCCTGTGCTCATGGCAGGGCCAAGCACCATCTAGACCTGGAGTGAGCAACCTTTCAGAAGAAGAGTGCCGAGATTTAACTTATTCACTTCTATTTACAGATCAGCTTGCCGGTGATACTTTTTAATGTCAATAATAGTCCTACTTACAGCAGCTTCATTAATAAATAAATTAAGATACAGATCACAAGGTACGTCTAGACTACATGCCTCTGACGACAGAGGCATGTAGATTAGACTACCAGGCATAGAAAAATGAAGCGACGATTTAAATAATCGCTGCTTCATTTAAATTTACACGATGAGGCATACCTGGGAGGTCGACAAATGCCTTTGATGTAGACCCCGCGCGTCCAGACTACCGCGCTGAGCCTACAAACAGCTGATCGGCTCAGCGCGGCAGCCATGTAAATTTAAATGAAGCGGTGATTATTTAAATTGCCGCTTCATTTTCCTATGCCTGGTAGTCTAATCTACATGCCTCTGTTGCCAGAGGCATGTAGTCTAGACGTACCCTTACTGTTTAGTGTGATCCTTGGCCTTGCTTTGCCTTGCTGAGTTTTCTCTGATCTTGGGCTTGCAGTTTGATATTTGAAGCAGCACACAAGCCTCCGAGTAAGGGTTTAGCAACCTACAGCATGCCAGAGCGGCCACCTGAGCACCCCCTGCTCCCCTGCCAATGCGGCCATGGGCCTGTCTCCAACCCACTCACCCCCACTCCAACCCCCTCCGGCAGCAACCCACCCACCCATGTCTTCAAATCCCACCCCCAGGCAGCAATCCACCCATCCACAGCAGCAACCCTCTCACCCGCCACATGTCCTAGGCCCAAAATGCTGGCGACAGCCTCAGCCCAACTTGGCCCTGGCCACCATAGCGGACACCGGAGCAGCCAGCCGTCATACGGTCCTAGGCCAGTCTCAGTCCCCAACCCACTCGCCCCAGCTTCAGCACTCTCTGGCAGCAACCCACCCGCCCATAGCTTCAACAGCCCCCAGTCTCCAACCCTCCATGCTGTGGCCTCTACACAGCATAGCAGCAACCCACCTGCCCGCCATGTGTTCTAGGCCCGAAACACCGGCAGCCGGCACTCTCCCCCCCGGCGGCAGCCAGCCTCCAACATGGCCCTGTCTGCCAGAGTGGCTGCCCAAGCAGCCACCCCCCAATGTGGCCCCAGACCCATCCTGGTTCCCCATCCCCACCAGCAGAGTAGCCACAACACTCACCTTCCAGGAGCATGAGGAAAGGGAGTACTGCTGTGGAGGAGGATAGGCTTTGATTAGAATTTTTGATGTCACCGTGTAGGCATGCATGTTAAAGACGCAGGATCATGGCTGCTTGGGGGAGTAGGTGCAGGGCTGAGCTCCCGCCTATTGTGCGAATAAAAATCGTCTTAAGTGGCACACTAGGTTGCTGACCCCTGATCTAGACTGTTCCTGACAGGTGCTTGTGTAACCTGCTGAAAATCTCCAATGAAAATCTCCAAAAATTTCACAATCTCCCTGGGTATTTTATTCAGTGCTTAATCACTGTTTAAACCTGATCAATAACCAGAAAGCATATTGAAAAGTACATAGTATCTACTTTTAATTTACCTGTCCAGCATACTGAAAGTTACAATTTTATTACCGTATTAGAAAAGCGCCACTGCCGTGAAATGCCCCTACATGCACTCAGTAGGCACATCTTTTTCAAATGTGATGTGCATGGTCACCAAAAATGTCTTTGGTGTAAAGTTGTTCAGTTCTAAGGGCCTGGCAGGAAACTCTGAAAATAAGATGTTGAGGTTTTCTAGTCTAATGCTTATGTGAGCCTAGGACACTTGTGCAATGCTGAGGATTCACGTCTCATCTGAGTTTTCAGTCCTTGAGTCCTAAGGAGTTGGATTGCTATGGAAGGACTGTACTGTGTTGAGTCCCTGAGCATGGGGTGGTGAAGGAGGTGAGGCAAGAGGGTAGAGGAATTCTTCACATTCATCAGTTATCTGGTTGATCATTGTTGACAGAATTCTGGAGCTGAGAAATTAGTGTTCATTTATTTAGATGTATAGCTAACAAAAAATCTTATATATAATCATTATGGAGAAGTGGTGACACATCATGGTAGCAGGGATGTAAACATAGTATCGGGCACCATTACAAACATATAAAGTATATACATTCTCTAAAGGGTTATTGCACTGTGTGAGTAAGGGATTAAGATATCAGTAAACATGCCAAAGGATTCCTTCACCAGTGTAATAAAATCACACACTTATCCTCATCAGGGGATAACGACTTTTCCAGTTTTACACATCTTCTCTTCCACAAGGAAGACCACCTAACATGCATATTTCAACTCTCCAGTTTGCACCCACAACCAGACAATTATAAACCCACTTCAAGATGATCTGAAACCTTCTCCCCTAGATGCATGTCCTGGACTGACTTCTGACATTTATGATGGAGCTAGGAATATGCAGCTCTTACAACATTTTGGAGTTCACAACTATTCCTCTGCCCTTGTGGAAATATACCTCAAATATTTAGAGCTGCTACTCAACTGTACGACAGTGCAAATAATTAAAAATAATGTAAAAGTCCAGATGAGGACACCTGTACATTCCCAATATGATATCTGGACCATGAGAATAAATCATGCTTTTTCTTTTCTCGCTTTTTTTTCTGGTGTTCTCTCACCCTTTCTGTTGCTGTTACCACAAAAGAGGATTGTGTAGTGAAACCCTGGGTCTCAATTTATCCATTTGCATAATGGGGATAATACCTCCTGAGGAAAGGGTTAAATTTTAATACTACTAAAGTGTTTTTAAGTCCTTAGGTGAAAATTGTTGTGTGTGATGCAGAGGGTTGTTTTCAGAGCACATGTTTAGGGTAAATCAAAACTCACTAAGAGTATATTTTTTAACTGCTGGGTACAGTACTCTCAATTAACATTTTAGGGTTACAGTATGCCAGATTGCATGATGCATTCAATAATGAGTATTTATAATTTTCTCTCTTTCAGGCTGTTCCTTATTCCAGAGAGTTCAAGCAGAAATATGACTATTTCAGGAAGAAGTTAAAGAAACCAGTAAGTAAATAAATGTTTGTCCTATATTGGAACCGACTGTTTTAGAGTAGGAAAATACAATGGACTGTCCCAAGAATAAGGTGCTGCACTTTCTTACCACACATTTTCCATTCTCTCTCTGTCAACCAAAACTGGTTTGAGGCTCAAGTTTTCATTTATAAATGGACAATTAAAGCAGTCAGGCAGCAGCAACTTACCATCACTTCACGGTTAATATTGATGCATGAGGATAGGCTCAGGTGAAAATCCGTGACTTAAATGAGCATACAGACTGAAACTGTCCTCGGCTGTCCAAAAGTCTGGTCATAAGAAACTGGGAGTGCTTAAGAAACTGGTGCTGCTGCCGCTTCTGGTATGTTAGATCTGTGGACAAATAGGACTTCAGTAATTCAGTGTCTTTCACCACCACTTAAAATCACTTATTGAAAATAAATAAGATCTCAATGCTAACTTGCCTGTAGTATCGATCGGCTCACTAATGGCTTTAATGTTTGGTTAGAGTTGCCAGAGTTTTAAAGGGGTCCCACAAGCATTATTTTGCTATACGTTGATCTATTTACCTTTCTATCCAGATCTATGAGGCCTGCTTCTTTCGCTGCATTAAAATGTAGCACTTCCAAGTGCACCAACTGGCAATTGGCTTTCTGCTGTATGAACCACTTTAATTGGAAGTAAAAATGGTTGCTGCACACTCATGTGATCAGGAAAATTAGACCTTTTTGTGGTTCTCTGCTGTCACTTGTTTGTTCATTCCACCTTGTTTCCATTCTGCATATTCCAAACACACTCTTGCTGCTGCTTTGCTTTTTTGCAATTTTCTTCTCCTGTTGACTAGTTTTCCTGAATAGGTTTCCAACCTATTCTGCATATGAGCCGTTACAGTGGAGCATGCGAGAAGCCTTCGCTTGTTTAGCTAGATTACTCACCACTCTATGCTATCATCTTAATATATGTAGGCTGTGCATTCAAACCAACATTTGTCCTTTCATGTAGGGTGATATACCAAACAGATTTGAAATGAAACTACACAGAAGTAATGTTTTTGAGGAATCCTATAGAAGAATCATGTCTGTAAAGAGACCCGATGTACTGAAAGCCAGACTCTGGATTGAATTTGAGTCAGAAAAAGGACTTGACTATGGAGGTGTGGCAAGAGAATGGTTCTTCCTGTTATCTAAGGAGATGTTTAATCCTTATTATGGTCTCTTTGAATATTCAGCAACGTAAGTCTCCATTAAAATATTTTCATTGTAAGTGATCTAGATTGTTACTTGGATAAGGGAAAAATTATGTACTGAAGCCCTTAGAATTTCCTTCAGGATATACTTTTAAATTCCAAAGCCATGGTAAAGTATCTCTCTACTGTGGTTTGTTACCTATTCCATGTTCAGGAAGCCTTCTGAGACCAAGCTGCTGTTGTGATATATTAAGCAACTTTTATTGTTACGTAAATATTTCACGCTATTTTGCAAGGCAGCATACGGAATGCATTTGCATGACTTGTACAGGTTGGACTTCCTTGGTCTAGCATCCTCAGGATCTAACTGGTCCCAGATGAGGGATTTTTCTGGACCCGGGGAGGTAATTTCAGGCCCCCTGCTGCTGGCCCCCCTCCATCACCAAGTTTCCTGGCTCCCTCCCCAGCCCAGCTGAGCTGTGTGCCAGACGTCTCCCACCCCCGCAGCCCAGATGAGCCACCTCCTGTAGCCCAATTGAGCCATGTGCCAGCTCCTGGGCCCCCACCCACCTGCAGCATGCCACGATTTTCTGATCCTGGAGCATAAAAGGTTGTGCCAGACCACAGATGTTGCCAGCCTAGTGAATCCTGGATTGTAGAGGTGCAACCTGTCATAGTGAAAAGAATGGTGCAAGAGAAGGAATTCTTTGTATGCCATACCCATTATAATGCATTGTTGTTGCTTTTTTAAGGAAACTCTTATGTTTGAGTTGAAATTCACCTCTCATGGGCCAGCTTCTCATTTTCACTAAGGATCCTTTACACAACTGTGGCACTATAAATGTTTCTTAAAGTGGGAGTGAATTACATTTACACTCACTGTAAGGCCTGATTACATTGTCAGAGTAGTGTAAATGAGGAGCTGTCTCTTGCACTCCAAGTGCCTTTAAATACATAATATGACATTTCATAACTACTAATATGTTTGTTTATTGCTGGAAGTGCTTTCTGTGTTTGGTGTCAAAATTTAATTCACTACTTTTTTCTAATAAAAGTGTTGGGTAGACTATAAAGGAGATGAACAAAGGGCAATATAAACAAGAAATTCCCTATTCTGTGCATCAGCTTCTGGTATCTTCTTCAACAATTTTTCTCACAATTTGTAGAATTTGGAAATAAGCCTTTTCTTTTTGCGTACACAGAAGCATAATGTTGTGAAATATATGGCTACTTCAAACTCTCGTTTACTGAACTTTGCTGCAAAAATGTTTTTGCCTTTGAAAAGATTTTCATTGATTAAATATATGCAACAATGCATTAATATTTTAAACGAAAACTATTTAATTTTTAGTTTCAATTTGGCAGAAATAAGTAATGGGAAATCCCACTTGAATGGAATATTGTCATTAAAAACAGGAATAAGAAATCATTACAGATGACATTTTAACCTATCTCGCTAGGAAGCTAATTTTTTCCCTAATGAGGTAATAAAATGAATTTAGAATTCATGCTGGGAAATATTCATATGCCCAAAGTGTCATTTATCTATTAGTGTAGTCATTTAGTCCCCCATTACTGTGTTGATCACATTCCAGTTTTAACTCTTGTGAGATATATTCGCTGTAAAGAATATACACTAGAATTGCTTCTATCCATGGTTTTGTTGGTTTTTAATAAATCCATTGTCATATTAGCACATTGGCTTTATAGCAAATATTGTAAGTACTGTATGTTTAGACCTAGTTCTCTGCCACACTTAATCAGTAGAACCTGTATTATTCAGAGGCAGATGCCTTTGCAGTGGAGAGTGGGGCTTGCATCCCAGGGGATCTCTTGCATTTCCACCTTTTTTAAATGTCCAGTCTTCTATCTACTTGGATTTTAACCCTCTGTTAAGACTTTCCTAACTGATGTTTGAAACTAGGGCTCGGACCACACTGCAGGGCACAGACCTAAATTAAAGTAACCATATCCCAGAGTACCTATCCTCCCCCGCCCCACCAAAATGGAGCTGCTTATAGCTCTGGGAGTATGGTGCACTATGGGAAATTTGTACTGCTCAACATGCAGGAAGCAGCTCTCTTTGCACAAGATTTGATCCGTTTGCTCCCTCTTGCAAAACCAGGAGGCTCTCTAATAAGGTGCTTGCAGATGGGTGATCTGAAGAGCTGTTGCATGCAAAGGGGGTTGTCTTCTCTTTTTAATAGCAGGGACTGCAGATTGTTCTGAGAGAGAGGACTAATGAAGTTCTCCCATAGAACTTAGATATTTCCATCTGACTCCTGGGACCCAAGTCAAGCAGGATTACATCTACACTGCAGAGCAATAGGGCTCAGACCCTGGATCCTTGCTTAACTCAGGCTCAGACTCTCAGCCCTGCAAAGTCCTTTGACCCTGGTCTCAACTCTGGGTTAGCACAATAGTAGTAGACACAAGAGGGAGGACAGTTTGCTTGAGCCCAGGCACAAACATGAGTTTGTTGCGGTATAGATGTACCCTCAGTTCTGTTCAATGTGCCTGCAAGAGGCCGGTCCCAGAGATAGCCATGTTCAGTGCTGTCTGGGTGAGCACCTGGCTCTGAAGTCTGTGGGATTTTTACCATTCACTTCAATAGAGCCAGGCTTTCACCCTCTCCTCTTTCCCAAAGTGCTAGTTGTCACTTTTATTTAAACTTTTATCATCCAGAGAGCTCAGGACTCCGATTGTGAACAAACACATGGCAAAGGTTATGTGATCATTAAGTTTATTGTAGCAAGCTGCTGTTTTCTATTCATGCTTCATGATTTTACAGCTCCCCCTTTTGTTTGTCCTTGTGTCCTTCTTTTCCCCCCAGCATACAAACTGGGTGAAAAGAATATTCCCACTTCATTCTAGAGATTGCTGTGGAGACCAGTCACCCATCTCTAGAGCCCGGCGTGGGTACAGAATTTGTATCTGCATTGGTATCCACAAAAGTGAGCCATGGCTATCTACACTGACATCTGTTGATGTGGATACCTGTGGCTATAAAGTGGATATTGCAAATTTGCAGTGTTATAGATACAAAATTTCTATGTACTGCCACATCTATATCCACAAAAATGAGCAGCGGGTATCCACATCTCATATAAAGTAGATATCTGTCAATTTGCAGGACTGTACCCGTAGAGTCATAGAACACTAAAAATGGAAGGGACCTCGAGAGGTCATCAAGTCCAGTCCCCAGCCCTCATGGCAGGACCAAGCACCATGACCATCTCTCTGTTAAGATCTAATTGAAAAAAAAAAACTTTATATGAATAAGAATAATATTAAAAAGTCTGAGGGGTAGCCATGTTTGTCTATAACTTTAAAAACGATACGTAGTCCTGTGGCACCTTACGGTATGTTTACACTTGCACCCTCTTTCGAGAGAGGGATGCAAATGCAGATATTCAAAATTGCAAATGAAGCCAGGATTTAAATATCCTGAGCTTCGTTTGCATATTCACGTTATGGTGCTATTTTGAAGTAATGGACGCTGTTAAAACGTGGTTATTTCGAGAGAAAACCCTTCCCTCAAAATAACTGGTAAACCTCATTTTATGAGGAATAAGGGTTATTTCAAGAGAAGGGTTTTCTCTCGAAATAACCACATCTTAACAGCGTCTGTTATTTCAAAATAGCGCCATAACGCGAGTATGCAAACGAAGTGCAGGATATTTAAATCCTGGCTTCATTTGCAATTTTGAATGTCTGCATTTGCATCCCTCTCTCGAAAGAGGGTGCTAGTGTAGACATACCCTTAGAGACTAACAAAAAATATATAGAGTAACATAAACGTGCGTGGGCAAAATCCTCTTCTTCAGATGAGCACTCAAACTCCTTCAGCCCTGTTAGCAAGCAGCAAGATACTGCAGCTAAGGCACATGAAGACAAATTAAAATACTGAGCTTCTTGATTGCAGAACTAGAAAATAATTGCCCCTAGGTCAAACTACTTATTAACATATCTAATGTTGACCACTTGATTATTTAAACAGGGTTTTTTTTTTTCTCTTCCAATAAAAAAGGGACAACTATACCCTCCAGATTAATCCCAATTCAGGTCTGTGTAATGAAGATCATCTATCCTATTTCACATTTATTGGACGTGTTGCTGGCCTGGCAGTGTTTCATGGGAAGCTATTAGATGGTGAGTTTATAATAATATTAAAGGTTGCTATGGCATGTGTAATTTTTATTGACTTTTACTGTGAGACCTTGCAGAGCCAGCATAGCTAGAAGAGAGTGAGCTACATTCTGTTCCTGTTTGTGTATCACCCACAGAATTATTTTTTTGTGTTTAAATCAGCCACAGGTGAAAGTTGTGAGGTTGCACAGGTATCAGTGAGGGCATAAAATGATCTATGGTATCTTTATTATTGATGTGGTGTAAGAGAGAGACCTATTCCAGGTTGGCTTTAGGACCCTAGAATAAGCAGGCCATTACAAAGATGACTGTTTCTAAAGCGAGTCCACTAAGGCACAATAAACCATGCCCCTGCACAATGTCATTTTTATGGTCACTTTGCAGAACAGAATGGCACCCCATAAACTGAGAACTCAGCCCTTGGAACTAAATACTCCAAACTTTTACATCTCTTACACTGTAGCTCCATAAGTGGAGAATTTCTGTACTTACAGAAAAGATGAGAAAGTTGTGTTGTCCTTTAAGCAGCTGTATCTGCATTAATGGAGACAAATTCCTTTGTCATTGGCAAGCTAAAGCAACAGGATGCTGTGTTAAAACTGAACAGATTTATTCTATGCCTTGAGCTGTGGTTTCAGAGTAGTCGGGGTTACTCTTTCCTCCACTGCCTGGAAGATTTTATTAATGATTGGAACTGCCTCAAGCTAGATCATCACCTTGAGGCAAAATATAATACTAAAGTATGGATTTTCTGTGCAGCTGCTTTGGCAGGAGTAAAAGTGCTATTGAAACTCATTTTCTCCAAAGGAGAATGACAGTGGATGTGGATGCTAGGTGGGTGGTGAATGGAAGGCTGGGGATAGAGATAAGTTTTAATGACAACAGTAATTTTAACATAGGATGCTTCCTAGGAATGGTTGCAATGAATGGCTATGGTTAATGAACAGACCCTTGGTTTCACTTCAGGATGTTATTTCTCTTAGCAAATGGTTAATCCCCAAGAAAGGTCCTATGCTTGTACTCGTACTACTCGCATGTATTACCCATGCGACTGCTGCTAATAACATTTTTTTTTACGCTTGTTAATCTGATAGCAATATGGCTTTTTTCCCCTTTTTTAATTCTCACCATATTTCTTCATGGAATTCCTTCCTTGAAAGATGTGAAAGAATGTTGGTATTAGCAGTGTTATGTGCTGGGTCAGCTCTTTGTACTGCAGATTGCTAGCAGAACAAAAAACTACCGTTTAAAATTAAGTCTATTCACTTGTGCCTCTTGTGTTGTGTTTTTTTTTTTAGGCTTCTTCATCCGGCCTTTTTATAAGATGATGCTAGGGAAACAAATAACGCTGAAAGACATGGAGTCAGTGGTAAGTGAACCCTAAAGACTTTTCATGTTAAGAGGAACAAGATGGGTGAGGAGTAATATCTATCATTGGATCAGATTCTTTTTGTGAAAGAGACAGAGTTTTGCACGCCAGAGTGCTCTTCTTCAGGTCTGGCTTGCTGAGCTTAAAAGCTTGTGTTTTTTCACTAATAGAAACTAATCCAATAAAAGATATTGTCTCACCTACCTTGTTGCTTTCATATCCTGGGGCCAATATGGCTACAGGAACACTGCGAATAGCTGATTAGTGTTGTCAATTACATGAGTTTCTTCTCTGGGGAAATATATAAAAGGTAATACATCTAATGAATTACACAGCAGCAAACACACGTTAGAAGTGAGAACTTGGAGAATAATTCTTATTTTTAGTAGATGTCAGCGTTACTGATGTGGAGGGGAGAGGGAAGAGGGCAGTTGCCCTGGAGTCCAATGATTTAAAAGGGCTCGGGGCTTCTGGCCACCACTGTCACTACTATAGCAGCTGCAATGGCAAGAGTCCTAAGCCCTTTTAAATGACCACGACAGCCTGGGTGGCACAGACCCTGGAGAGACTGAAGGACTGGCTGTGGGATGTTGGAGTAATTTCTCACCATCCTCTTAACCTGATAACACTCTTCCAATATGTTCTCTTCTCTTTTGTCTTTTCTCAATACTGAACATGCTTGGGTTTTTTTTATTTTATTTTTTTAAATTATTCTTTCCTCATAGGTCATATTCCCTGGGCCTGTTTATCATTTTTGTTGCTCTTTTCTGGACTTCCTGCAGTTTATCCTTACATCTTTTGTAAAGAGTGGCACTCAGAATTATACAGAATACTCTATGTAAAGCCTAACCCCAGTGCTGACTAGAGCAGAACATTTATCTCTGCCTTACGTTATTCCTGTGGGAATTCTGTGCCCCCCTCCTCCCCACAAAAAAAGTAAATAAATAAATAAAGTCTGCACATTTTGCATATTGTGAATGAATGTGTTAGGACTCTAGCATAACAGAGGGGAATATAGGCCACTGGCTGCACCGGGAGATGGAAGATCACTCTGCCCATCTAGACACTCAGAAGTGGGACTGAACCTAACCTTGACAACGTATAAGAGCCAGGCCTGCCCCAGAAGCACACAGGGCCCTGCTCCTCCACACCAGGTGCATCCAGGTAGTAAAGGAGAGAGACAGTCTCTCTCACATGCCCAACCCTAGCCCCTGAGTCAGGTACGGAAAGACAGTCTCAGCCTGGCAGAATCCAAGTGTGGAGGAATTTAGTATGGGGAGATCCGGTTTTGGGGTAAGAGAGTTCTGGGTGGGGCACTCTGAATGTGGGCAACTCAGTGAGGGGAGGGCGGGGTTCAGCTGCAGGACACATCTGGATGCACACGGCTCACTGTGGGGGATCCAGAGGAAAGTGATTGGGATTCAGATGGGAGGTCAAGGTGCTGAAGGATGGGGCCCAATGGGGAAGATGCAGAGCTTCCTGCAGCTTGACCCAGCCCTCTGGATGCCATGTAGGAGAAGAGGAAATCCCATCTTCCCCACCCCAACTGGGACTAGCAGCTGAATCCAGTGCAGGGCAGGAGCCACTGGTTGAGGTCTTCCCAGCCCAGCTGCCACCTCCTCCTCCTCTCTCCCCCAGTGATTTACCTGCTCTGCTGAAGTTGAAAAATTCCAGATTTCAGCTCTGCCCCACAACCAGGAATAAATGGTCACTGTTAACCCAATAGAATGATACTGTTGTTTTTCTACCTCTCAGCTTTTCAGTGTCATTCAACTTCTGCCCCAGAGCGATCTTGTAAGAACCAAAGAAGCTTTTTTCCTTCTTTCAGCGTCTTCCTCCATTCCCTCAGTCATGCAAACAGATCTCAGGGATGTGCTGGGATGAGGTTTAAGGTCGTGATAACCACACTGGGTTATTTCTTTTGTTCTTGCAACCAGATGTAAAACCAATGCTGTCTGACTAATTCTTAGTTCTACAACAACTCTTGATCTTGTTAACAGTTTTTTCAGTGAGAGAGGAGCAAGATGCAGTTGATCTTTGTTAATGTTCTATAATGTCACTGCTATTTTTCTGTCGGTGACTCATTGTACAGTGAACATACTGCTTTAAAAATACTGTTCAGCTGCTTCATACATGCTCCTTGTCATACTTACTAGTTTGGCTTGTTACTTCTCCAATTAAAAATAAATGAGTAAACTGTATTCTGAACTTATTCTGAGTTAATAACAAACTTTTCACTTTTTTCACTTCTTGTACTTGGACACATTAATTTTTTTATCACCTTTCCTGGTGCAGTTTTCATTATTTGTTTTGCTTTATTTTTCTCACTCTTGAATTGTAACTCTAATAGAAGTTGAAGATATGAGCCATCCAGGGTAATAGTGGGCAACTAGTAGTTAGTGGATTTTTTTCAATTTAAAGCAACTTAATAAATTGGTATCACCTTTGCAACACTGAATGAGATGACACTATTGGGCTATTACTGACCATCGTAATTTGATTCATTTTTGACTAAGTTATACTGTCATGAGTGTGACCACAGAAAATACAGTATTCAGGAATCATTTAAATTAATAATGCAGCTGATTTCCATGTTATAGCTATAGCAAAATTAAATCCGATAAGAAATATGAGAAATTGCAATCCATTTTAATTATTTCTAGCGCTCTAATTCAGTGTATTCGTTTTAATGCTATAGATTATAGTATGTAATGTCAAGTATATGATAACGTGTGCATTTTTCAAAGAGTGCTTAATGGTAACCTGTTCTGTTACTGCAGGATAGTGAATATTACAATTCTCTGAAATGGATCCTGGAAAATGACCCTACGGAGCTGGATCTCATGTTTTGCATAGATGAGGAAAACTTTGGACAGGTGTGTATTAGTTAAAAAAGAAAACAAAGCTTCAAGCTTATCTTTCCTTCTTTCCTTGTCAGTTACTACCAAACATTTACAAGTTCTGGGCAGTATTTGTGGTTTGGGAACTTAATCAGAACTTTTAACTCTGAATGGTCAGTACTGCCAACAGCCATGCAGGGTTCAGATCCTGGTCCTCTTTCTCCAGGGGTCAGCTAAGACTATGGTTAAGTCCAGTGGTCAAAAGGTCACTACACAGAAATACTCTGGGAGATGAACTGTGGGTATATTTGCTGCAGAAAGCAGACAGCATGGCAAATAGTGGTGTGCACAAACTTCTCTAACTTTTTTCCAGCTGGAAAAGTGTTTCAGCTTTCAACCTCTGGGTGAGAGAGTGGATGTCTTAATGCAGACATTCATCTCTGTGATGCGACTACCAGTTAAGGTGCCAAGTGATTATGGGGTTTAATTATATAGGAACTATTGAAAGTAAACTAGATCAATAACCAGCTTATTATTGTGGGAGCTGGTAGCAAACACTATTTTTACGTTTCCTAACACTCTCCATTATAAAAGATTCTTGTGACACTTTTTAGGAACCCTTGCACCATCTCTGTTAGCATCAGGCCTTTGATATTTAGCAGGAGGACCCATCCTAAGGTTCCCAAAGTGCCTTTTCTTTGACTCATGAAATTCTGTTCAGCTTTTGCTTAGAAACTCTTAAATTGTAACTCTAATAGATGTTGAAGATATGAGCCATCCAGGGTAATAGTGGGCAACTAGTTCAACTTTTGCTTAGAAACTCTTATTTCCTGCTTGTGATTTCCTTTTTCCAGGAAAACTTTGGCAGCCTACCAGAGTAACTAAGTACCCCAAATGTTGTAAAGCAGTGGTCCCCAAACTTTTCACAGTCGCACATTACCCCTGTCTGCAGTCAGTTCAACCCCCTCTGGCCCACTCCCTCAATGGAGCTCGGGGGAGGTGTGAACAAGAGTAAGGGACCAAGGCTGGGGCTGCAGAGAATGAAGCCACACTCAGGGATTGAGGTTGGTACCAAGAGTGGAGCCGTGGCCAGTGACCAAGGTTGGGGGTGGCACTGGTGACAGTGTCATGGTGGGGCCTGCAGCCAGGTGCCGAGCTGTAACCAAAAGCCAGAGCTGTGGCTGAGGACAGAACGGGGATGGGTAGTGCTTCCTCTCTGCCACGCCCCACAGTGTTCCTCCATGAGGGCACACCCCACAGTTTAGGGGGCTGCTGTTCTAAGGTTTGGTCTGCACCACTGCCAAGGCAGCACAGGCTAATTGGGAGCACCTGCAACCTAACTGCAGTTGTGCCATGGAGAGGGGGTGAGAGCTGGGGCTGGATTCCCTTCCCCCAAATGCAGCACACTGTGCTAGTGGCACATGGCACCCACTGGGTGCAGCACATGGAGCAGGAACGGCAGCAGGCTTCCCTACTTCTGAAATCCTCCCCCATGCACACTCAGGCTAGCACCTGGCCCTTGCAGCCTCTTCTTTCCTCCTCTTCCTGGGGGTACCACAAAGGCCAGAACTTCCCCGTTTCCCAGAAGGATGCTGAGGGCTGGGGAGACTAAGTCCAGGGTTCTCCCAGCAACCTTCCAGACCTAGCACCTGAGCCTTGAATCCCATTTATCCTCAAGGAGAGCCACATAAGGCAGGAACTTCCTCAATTCCTGGGGGTAGGAAAAGAGAGATACAGGCCATGCTGGGCATCCATTTCTAACCCTCACATTTCCCCACCTGACTACCATGAGCCTTATCTGAACAGCATTCTACCTTTAAGTGCCTCTCCTGGCACAGTAGATTTGCTCTCGCCATGCCATTTGGGACTGGTGGAGGGGGGATGGCCATGCCTGACTTGCTGCTTGTCATCTCCTTTTCTCCAGTGGTAGAATTGAAAACATTCCCTTTGCTCCAGGTCTAGTACTTTCCCCCTCAACTTTCAGACTGCTAGACTCTCCCCACTAATGCAGAGAAATCCCCACAAGTAGCGGTGGCAGGTGGGGAGTATTTCCAATCTTACTGCCGCAAACTGGGGTTAGGCATGGTAAGAAAAGGCGTTTAAAAAGGGCACTTCTTCCTTCCCTAGGAAGGTACAAGTGGAAGCAGTTAAGTGATGCGTATAGGGCCTGTTGTGGGAATGAGGAATCACAACTCAGTCTGAGACTGAATGAAACTCTCTACTAGACAAAATGCTTGCATCGCCTCTTGCAGCAAGTCAAAGCCTTAAGAAGATATAGAACATGTTAAGTGATGATACGATGGCCACATTTTCTCTAGTAGCTAATTTCACTGTATTGCACTGAAGTGCTCTGGGGAATTAGCATCCTGGAGAATCCCTTGATGTAAGTGATGGAATTAAATCCTTAAGGAAGTTGTGTAGACCAGAGAGGGAGACATCTTTGCTTCCTGAATTTGTTATTGTCCTTGATGTATATTTTTGGGCTATGCATATAGAATAAAAACCAAGAAGCAAAGAACAGTAATAGAATTTCACACATCTGTTACTTCTCCTTTAGTGAACAATGTGGGAAGGATTTTGATAGTTCTTACAATACATGGGGTGGCTATTATAAATATGTAAAGTGCTGGGGAGCTGTCTTTCAAGAACAGAAAATGAAAAACTCTGCTACATTCAGAGCTATAATGGCTCTGAGATATTGTTTGTCATTGTCTTAATGTGATGTAGCTTCTCGTGATGAGAAATAAACAAGCCACAAAATCCATCCACCTCTTCTTGGATGACATTATTTGTGTCTGGGCTCTGAATATCTTTATCCCCTTTGACCAGAAGATTAATGCTATTCTTTTATTTGTGATTTCCTTTGTTGTCTTCTCTGACCGTTAGGTATTGGATAGCAGGGAGACTCTGGGCTCTTTGTGTGTGTCCATTCCATACTGTTGATAGTTTTTATCAAATCTCTTTCCTCAGCACCATTTTACTAGGTACTTACTTTATTATTGTGTCCCCAGTTACTGGGGACTTCTGAAATGAGGATACTGAGAGTGAAGTACAAGGTTGAACCGAATATGGGCTAGATTCACTTTCTGAGTTTTATACCAGCAAAACCAAACTTCAGGGCTACGTCTACATTGGCATCCCTTTCCGGAAAAGGGATGCTACTGTGACGAGTCAGAATTGCAAATCCGCGGAGGATTTAAATATCCCCCGCGGCATTTGCATTTACATGGCTGCCGCTTTTTTCCGGCTTGGGGATAAGCCGGAGAAAAGTGCCAGTCTAGACGCGATTCTCCGGAAAATAAGCCCTTTTCCGGAGGATTTCTTATTCCTACTTGAAAAGGGCTTATTTTCCGGAGAATCGCGTCTAGACTGGCGCTTTTCTCCGGCTTATTCCCAAGCCGGAAAAAAGCGGCAGCCATGTAAATGCAAATGCTGTGGGGGATTTTTAAATCCTCCACTGATTTGCAATTCTGAAGTGTCTAATCTGCATCCCTTTTCTGGAAAAGGGGTGCAGTGTAGACACAGCCCAGGATTTGGCAGGGGAGTGTGCCAGGAGCAGAATAGTAGGTTAAATTAAACTAGTGCCATCCTCCTTTGTCTCCCATAAAATGAATCCTGGTTCAAGTTCATAACCTGCACTGCAGGAGAAAATCACTGTAGGTGTAATCACACATTCTGACTAAACGCCTAGACCCCAGTCCCAATATAATGTGAATTCAGACTCATACTCCAGTGGCTTCTCTCGGGGATGTGTTTGGCTGTTCCTGAGTCTTGTTCAGGAATCTGGAGAGAATAGCCTGAAGACAAAGTATTCATCTTCATAACTTACCTGCTGGTTTTTTTCAACTTTGAAGCTGCTGCTAAGGGGCATATATTGTCTGACAACTTTTCTTGTGCTCAATCTGCCATTCCATTCTTTAATTAAGATACCATTCTCTGGCTTATGCAGTGCTCATCCAGAGTAACTTTTGTTGAACTCTTCCTGTCAGTTTTATTTTCTTCAGATCATAGTTTCCATCTCTTTTAGTTTATTGTAAATTTTAACAACGTTCTTGTTTTAAAGGATCTACTGATGAGTAAGTGGCAAACAAATACAGTAAAAAGTTTTCAGTTTTATTCCTTTTTCCCCCATTTAGGTTGCCTCACTTTCTAGCAGAACTATACAATCATCAGCAACATTCTTTAGAATTCTGTCCTTATGGTTTTTTGTGCTTAATAACAACTCTGCCTGCTTTGTGGTAGCACCTGTTCCAAATCCAAGTGTCTGTGGTTATTATACTGTCTGCTAATTTAAAATTCTTCAGAATACTTGTCTAGCTCTTGAGAGAGCTGTTCCACATTTTGCCAGAAGTAGAACATGTTCATTGTCCAAGTGATTCTTCATATTCTGAGCTAGTGTTCTGATCACTTCCCTCCTGCTAAACCATTCAATATTAGTTAACCGCTAAAGATTTCCTTTATGGAGGGTGCCTCAGATCTGTATAGAGAGGAAGTGTACACTCTGGCTCTGGCAACTCCTGTGGGGAGCTCCCGGAGCTGTTTTCTTCACCTATGGTCCACCAGGGATGATGTGTGTCACCCGTCAGTCACGGGAAATGCGCACTCCCCTCTGCTGTGGAATCTGCAGAAGGGGGAGATGGAGCCAAGGAAATGAGTGACATGACACCCCTTTTGTCCATGGGAAAGGGAAACATTCATGAAAGAAGAAGGAAAGAGAACAATCCAGACTTCAGCGTGGTAGTGGGCCACTCCACACTTGCATTGTAGGACAAGAATCTTTATTAACCTGGATTCATCTTTTCAATTTAATAAGTCAGGAGGTCTCAAAGATTTTTTTTTGAGAGAATTCAACCAATTCAGTGGTCTTTTAAAATCAAGAGTTAAACCAAAAGCAGCTGTGTCTATATAGAGCCCCACGCCTGAAGCAGCTGATGTGTAGAGAGTAAAGGTGCCACCTTGATAGCTCCCAATCCTGGTCCCTCCACAGACTGGGTGAGTCCCTACTTAAAGCATGTGTCTTATGCCTAAGGGTACGTCTAGACTACCGCGTTTTGTCGACGGAAGTTTTGTCGACAGATACTGTCGACAAAACTTCCGTCGACAAAGAGCGTCCAGACACATTGAGTTCTGTCGACAAAGCAAGCTGCTTTGTCGACAGAACTCCGTAGTCTGGACGCAATGTTACAGGCAATAACACATTCTGTCGACAGAGTTCTGTCGACAGAAGGTGTTATGCCTCGTAAAATGAGGTATACCAGCGTCGACAAAACTGCTGAGTTCTGTCGACGTTATGTCGACAGAACTCAGTGGTAGTGTAGATGCTGGTATAGTTTTGTCGACAAAAGTCCACTTTTGTCGACAAAACTAGGTAGTCTAGACACACCCTAACTGCCATGGCCCCAGGGCTAGTTTTCTGTCACCACTGGAAACTATTCCCTCTACTGCCCAGGGGTTTGCCTTGCCATGCCATGCTGGAGAAATCTTGCACCAGTTAGTTAAGTAGACCTTGTAGTCCCTTGTGTTTCTAGAGTACAAGATGGCTACCATCGCAAGCTTGAGACTCTGTCCAAGGTATTGTGCAGTGGTAATCCAAAAACTGCTTCACTGTCAATCTGTGTTCATGACTCAACAAACTTTTTTTCCCTACTGAGCATCATTAATTTAATTCTTTACTAACTTCTTTACTAACTTGAATAGGAAACACAAAATACAATTCTGCTGCCTTGCTTGCCAATGAAATACAGTTCATAATTTCAATATATAAATGACCTAATTTATCGTCTGTCCTAATGATGCCAGCTTTAAATATGAAACATCTTGGCATTCAGTATAAAAGTCTCATTAGCTATTTTAGCATATTAGTTACTTTTAAATACATTGAAAACTAGAGAGTTTAGTTCAACAGATACTTATGTAATAACTGTCTTCTAATGAACTTTTAACACACTGCTCAAAGTTAGTAGATCTTAAAGAAATAATTTCATGTTTTGTTTTTGTCTTTTAAAATACAGACATATCAAGTCGATTTGAAACCAAATGGGTCAGAAATCACGGTAACAAATGAAAACAAAAGGGAATATATTGAGTATGTATATACTTTATTGTATTCATTTAAATGTCTAACAATCCATAAGAGCACACTTTTTGGAAGTTAATCTGCTAAGATACTGCAGTCTGGCTGTGTAGTAGAAACACTACTGACAGCTAATCATTAAGTAGAAAAATCCTTTTAACTAATATGGCTTGTCTGAGTATTAGTGTTTTGCTGGTTTTAATGTTATCATTTTTAATCACTGTAGAAAGTATAATCAAGACTAACCAGTCCCATGCATGGAATGTATTAAAAACTATCTTGATGTTTTGTCATGTGGTACTTTCAACACTGGATATCTCTCTGTTTTGGTTTTTGCCATTTTTAATGCTAGATTTTAAAAATCAAAATCTCGACCAAAAAGAAAATCCAAATCTATAAACACTGCCATCAGAAGAAGAATTAGATTAGTCTGCCCAATTAAGATATAACTAGTAAGCAAACAGTAAATTAATGTATTAACAAGTGTACATAAACAAAGGGTTTTTTAACTTATGTAGTATTTTATAAATGTTCAGCATTCAGGTCCTATTTCAGCAAGATGCATGAGATTTAGGCACATATTTAAATAACACACTGAACTCGAACCTGTAAAAGGAAAAGTTGCTACTTTATATTGTTTGCAGTATTCCAGTGCACTTACTGTCTGACTCTCATGGGGAAAACATTAGAAATTCCAATTTCTTCTCTATTTTTATTGATTATTGCTCTGCTGCTGCTACTCTAACATCTACAATACATCTATAAGCCTAATTGTTTTTACTGATAGAAGGCATGTAATTTTCGTTGTTTTTTCAGATGCACAAAATTAGGTGCCATAAATATTTATTTTATTTGTTGTCAATACTGAGCAATAAAGAAAAGCTCCTTGAAAATCTAGGCTATGTTTTGAAAGTTTAAGCACCTGAATTCTGCTTGCACAAAGGTATTTTCTGTGTTGACTCACATATTCAAGTTATTCTGAGAGACATCAAATGGGTAGCTTTTACTTGTAAATGTCCTCATTTCCTGGTAGTGCGCTCATTTTATGGAAATAATTGTCATATCTTTAAAAAACCCTTTAATAAAATTCCATGGGGATTTCCCCCTCCCACTCCTCCTGGTCCATAGCAATAATTTGTATTGTACCTTATACTAACAATACTAGATTATTGTTAAATTATGAAAATATAAAGTACAGGCAGTCCCCGGGTTACATACAAGATAGGGACTGTAGGTTTGTTCTTAAGTTGAATTTGTATGCAAGTCGGAACTGGCGTCCAGATTCAGCTGCTGTTGAAACTGATCAGCGGCTGACTACAGGAAGCCGGAGGCAGAGCTGCTCTGCCCCGGGCTTCCTGGAATCAGCCGCTGATCAGTTTCAACAGCGGCTGA